TACAAGCATGAGGACTGCTGCATACTTAGAGGCAATGCTCACACCTTGAGTTTTAGTCCTTCATTAGATCTCAGCATAGTATGAACACTGTCTAATACACAATTTTCAGTACAGTAAGCAGCCACTGGATTCGTGTTTAAGTATTACTATTAGAAATTAAATCAGTTGTTACTTGCAAGAGAATTTTAATGCTTCCAGCTTGGTTCTTAAAGTTGTTGTCAGCCTATAATAGTGTGAAATGTGAGGGCTGAAGGCTTGTCAGAGTCTCAGTACAGCATCTTGTGATTCTCAGAGAATTTCTGTTTAAGAGACTACATGAGAAATAAGCTCTACTGGTCCCAGTGAGTTGGAGGAATGTTAAGAACCTAAATGACTTGGTATCCTGAAGCAGGTCAGAGTCTTTCTGCTTTCTGGCTGCTGCCCAGTCTCAGTTCAACTGAGGTGAATTGGAGCCACTGACCTGCTGTAGATACACACGTCTTCAGACTTGCTATGTTTTGGCAACTGTTTCATTCTGGTCTATCTCTGTGGAACATCCTTGTGGCCTTATCAGGCTAAATTTCTGGCAAGGTCAGAAGTAGGTTTGTTTTGGTATTTTTTCCTTATGATATACAGATTTTTTTTTAAAATATTTTTTTCTTCCCCTCATAGTGAAACCCATTACAGATGTTTTCTGCAAATATGAGCCCTATAGTCAGATACTTCAATGCTATTTTACTTTTGTTACTTGTAATGATACAATGTCCTAGGAGGAATATCTGAAAGGGATAACATAAAGAAGGAAACATCTCACAAAATGTGATTCTCCGTACTTCATGTTTCAGAGAATTGACAGTTCACCCTAACTGAACTCTAGTCTGTCAGATGGGAAGCCCATCCTTGCATAAGAACACAAGGCTAATTCCTGAGCATCCTTGTAAGAGCCTTTTTCATGTCATTAATAGTACATGGTGCTCAAGTAGGTTTTTTTTCTTGCCTCAAGTAATGCTTCATCTGCTTTCTCTCTTCAAGTCTTGTTTACCATTGTATAGATGTCTGTGTATACACAACAGCTTACCAAATATTAACATTAATGTATGCACTATGCATATGTTTTCATTTACCTAGAATGTTATTTACACATCACATCTACTGAAGGCTGATACAAAATCATGGTTTTCTTTGTGCTAAAGCAGTGTGTGTACAAGAGGGCTGATGTCAAAGGTAGATGCTTGAAGTGTCCTGCTGCTGGGTTTTTGTTTGGTGGAATCTCAATTAGAATTAGTTCTCCAAGTTTGGAGATTTTGTACATTTTCTGTGATCTAGTGGACCCATTATTTCAGCTGCTAGAAGGAGCTTTGTAGTCAGTGATTGTTAATCTGAGAAAATGCAGAATGAGGAAATGTTCTACAAATGACAAACTTCACAGTAGTATTTTTTTCTTATCACACTAATTTGTATGACAGGAAGGAATTCAATCTAACTCATTAAACAGTCTTGTAGTTCCTCCATTTTGATTAATGCTTTGGCATGTTTATTGGCTTGATGAGATTTATTGGTCTTCTGCTCTGTATAGAGAGAACATTCCATAGAAGTTAACTAAATAACAGTAATTCCCACAGTATTCCTGCAAAAATTTAGATGTGGTTGCTGACACTTTTTGAATAAAGGTATGAAGTGGTCCACAGTATTTTTTTACAAGGCTATTCTGTTTTACATTGGAAGGATAACTGCTCACCGATTTGCCTTTAAATAGAACAGTGAAGGTATGTAGCCTCAGTAAACAGCTGTACCAGATGCAGCAAAAGGCCCTTTTATTTCTGTGTGTTTTCAAACATCCCAAAAAGTGTAATGGACTCAAATTAACTTCACCTTCTGTATCCAAGAAATCCCACAGTTGGTATAAGTCACATAAATGGAAGAGTTTGTGTGTGTTATTTGACTTCCTGAATTAGTGCTACTAATACTCGTGTTCATCTAATTTAGACCATGTTATGAGATAATTTAATGGTGAAATATAATTACTGGATGTTACTAGTATAACTTTTCCATTAAAGGGTAAAAGATAGAATGGAAATGGAAAAAGGTTACAATTTCTTAATCTAAGGAAAGTAGCTCCAAATTTGTCTAGTAAGTGTCTTATAGTGGGAAAAAAAGAAAGAGCATTGTCAAACTGTCACCTCTTGGGCTGTAACACAAGACCAGGTTATGATGTAAACTGTCTCGAGTAGACGGAATCTGTGAGAAAAGAAAGTTTATTCAGCTCTTCTTGTTCTGTCCTCAGACAGTGCTGCACCCTAAGCTGCGCTATAAAGCAGAAAGGATCACAGCTACATCTGTATTTTCACTTATACTGATTTCAAAAGAAGGGAGCTAATGATGAAATGCTCAAATATGGATCAGAACTTCTCCTTTTAAACTTTTTTAAAAACTCACACAGAACTTTTAATAAAAGGATGGAAAGGTTTCAACGTAGCCTCAAGCTGATATTCCTGTTACATGGAACAGACAGGGAAGTTGGTGGTATGAATGTTGTTCTGATTCTTTGTGAACTTTAATATTGCAAAAACCGGTAACATTTATTTATGGTTTAAAAAGCTTGTTCTGAAGAAAAAAAAAAACTCTATTATTCCTACTTTGCCTTTTAAGTTTAGTATTAAATTCTGCTTTCTTGGAAAGGCTGAGAAGTATTAAAAAATAATGCTTAAAATGGGCTAGAACAAGAGAGCCATTCTGTAATTAAGTCTGCTGAATTTGTATTCATTCATACTAATCTAATTATTACTTTCTTTGAATGCCCTGCTGTGAGTCAAAATAAGCTAGTGCTGGATTTGAGAACCACAGAATGAGAAAAGTAAGCAAAAACTGCAAAGGGATTTTTCTGCATCTTTTGGGGTTTTGAGACTACAGCAAACTTTGTGTAGAGAAATAACACCGCAAATGAACTCGAGAACATTGCATGGTTCTGCTTTTCAGCATGCTTTCCATTGATTAATAATGGCAGATTAACCTGTGCTGTGCTAGTGCTTTCTGAGGTCAAGGAGTGGTGGAACCTCAGTCCATTTGTACCTGCAACAACTGGCAAGACCGTGAGCTAAAGAAATGGAAACATTGCAACTCCATGGCATAATTTTAAAGTGAAACACTATATTGTGTGGATTAAATTATTTTGCATCTGTAAAGACACAGCAACCAGTTGCTTCATTTACAAAAGGAACTAATGCCTTTTTACAGCTGCCATTCTGAAAAAGTACTCAGATTTGTAGTCTTGTGCTTGAAACAGTTATGTTTCTTGGCAACTAGCACATGCAGAAATGTAAAAGTAAAATAAGATATGTTCCTATTTGATTGCTTTAAGTAGCCGTTCTTTTTTGGATCACATAGCTTGGAAATAGGTAGGACAAGTCCTAGTCTGTTGGCTACAGTATTGGAAATTACATAGGTTGCAGTGGAACATCTATTAATGTTTTTCAAATAAAAATACGTGCTGGGAGACTTCTAAATATATTCAGCAAAGGAGCCCGAGGCAAAGGCTAGATTTGTCCACTGAACTCAAATTTTGCATGCATAGGGAACAGTGGTGGAAACTTATGTATTTTTAAGAAATCTTACTTCATTTTCATGTATTGCAAATTTTTAGTGAAATCTTTGTCACCTTATTGTTTATATCCATGGCTGGTGTTGTCCATGCTTGTATATAATGGGACTTTTTCAAACCTGAACATGCAGCCAGCTTTTCCAGCCAGCATATGATTGATGTATGTTTTCACACATGCACGTATTGTGCTAGTGTCTAGACTAACTGCAGACTGAGAGGGAAGCATCTTTATTCCACAGAATCATTTTGTGGCACATATACATATTAGAGCACACTTACATGTAATATCTGATGGCAACACTCTTCTGTCACTTTATTGTATATATAGTTTTAGAGAGAAATTGGGCTCTTAAAATATCTAATGCTTCAAATTACTTTTTGTTTTTCAATTTTTAAATATTAACAACTTAAAGATTTAATTTTGAACTTGGATTTGAGATGCTTGGGGGGGAAAAAAAGGAAAAAAATCCCCAACCAAACCACAGATTGGTGTAAAACCTTACTCTGATAACTTCAATAAATAGCTCTATTTAAGAGAACTATTTGTTACTATTCTGTGCTTTATACTGCACTGGAGGAGACATTGTCTGTGCCCTGAGCATTTTGCAGTGATAGGGCTTGATCCTGCATATCATAATGGTGATTGGTCACAGTTGGAGTAGAAGGGTGGAACTAACAAGCAGAATAAGGGAGCTTGCTCTTGTATAATTCAAAGTGTGGCTGGGAACTTCACTCAGAGCAGTCCCATAGCATGAGTAATGCCAGATAGAGACCATAAATAAACAACTCATTTCCAATCCATGTTTTAAAAAATCTGTCTATGTAGGCATTGTCATTTTTACCACAGTGGGAAGGACAAGAGATTTGAATTCACATCACTGCATTGTCTTGTCCTGTGCCTAGTGCTTTACCTTGCTGCAGCAAAGCTAACCCATGGCAAACAGGTGTTCAGGTTTAAATTGGAAACAAAAACATTTTACTCAATCCAATCTGCCACAGGATTTGCAGGATTAAGGCCTAAATGGATGAAGTGTCTAAAATGAAAGGACAGAGTACATTAGTACATGGAAAATGTTTTGATGTTCAAATGTACTTAGAATGATTCAATGTGAGCTCCTTACAAAGGGCTTTTTTTATTTATTTGGTGACAGAAAAGTTACATCTTCCCTCATCACTTGTAATACTAGCATGCCTGTTAAGTTGCTGATGAGATGTTCACTGTAAAGTCACTCACGTTTTTATGCATTTATTATCGATTTTGGTGTATTGCAGTAATGTACCATTGAGGATGATCTGGAGTAGCATGGCAGCATGCAATGAACTGTAAATCACATAAAAGACTTGAGACAGCTGTTTCAGTTTGAGGGAAGACTTGATAACAAAAGTTATGTGAGTTGCTAATAAAGGCTCTTTTTCTTTGCAGTGCTGCAGGGAGGAGCGCTGGATGGGGTCTACAGGCTGGTGCAGTTTCACATTCACTGGGGATCCTGTGAAGGCCAGGGATCTGAGCACACTGTGGATGGTGTGAAGTATGATGCAGAGGTAAGACATGCTTTACCTTCTCCAGTATCTTCTTTGTATGAGTATTCTACCAGAGTAGCACCTTCTCTACAAATTTTCATATGAGAAGGTTACCATAGAAGACTTTGCTATGATGCCACCTTAGAACATACTCCTTGCAAAAGAGCAAAAATTAGAATTTTAATTTTTTTTTTTTTCAGCTACTTCATGTCAAAGAGAAACAGAAAATCGTGCATTAACAATACCTGTTTTTTTTTCCCTGCTTTCTCAATGACTCTTGGAAATTATAAGGAAATAGAATTGCAGCACCTCTATACATACACCTCCCCTTTTCCTAGTTTCAATTTTTAACATCAGAGGTATTTATAAAAGCAGCAGAATAATTTTGGGGCAAATATTTTTCATATTTTGATAGCGAAGAATCAAGGGGAGCTATGAAGAGGGCAGACAGTAAAGTGCAATCTTACAGGCACTCTTTTTGATATCCTTTAGACTCCAGATGTCCCTCAGACCACGTAAGACTCCATATTACAGTCTCATACAGAAACTGAGTGACTTTAGTGCCTTGCATCCCAACTTTTGTTTTAGAAATCTACCTCTGGTTTCTGTGACTGACTTCTAAAATATATTCATAAATAAACATTTATGAAACATACCTGTGACTTACATTAACAGATAAAAGAAATTTCCCCACAAATTTGGCAAGTATTGGCTCAGCTGCTTTTTCATGAGGGAAATAGCTTTTGTCTTATCTGAGAAACTTTCAGTTGCCTTCTGTCTTTCACAGGACCATAATTACTTGTTCAACTTGACTTGCAGATGTGGGGAAATAACCTGGTGAACTTAAATTAGACATGACTGGGAAATTAAAAAGAAAGTAACATCCTGGTGAACATGATCTGAAGATTCATTTCACATTCTTTTCCAAGTCTTTCCAGAAAAGGACAGGACTTTTTTTTTTAAAAAAAACTTTCAAATTGTAAGTCAAATCTATAGTTAGTGTGTCTTCTCTGCTTCTTCTGACACTGGCAATATATGTCAGTGTGGTAAGAACTCCAGGATATATAACATTAAAATACTACATTAAAATCCTATGGGCCTGTATGTGGGAAAAACTTATGCTGAAGATAACAGGAGTTTCACCACATGAAAAGCATAATGATACAGCCACAGCTTGCCTTTGAAACTTACCAGAGAATATGAGTGAGGAGCAAAATAAAATGCATTAGAGAACTCTCTTTGAATAAATGAAACTTTAAAGTAGATAAATAATTCAACAAATTCTTAACTGTACTCAAAAGCTTTCAAACCTCAGCAGTAAAACACCATCTTGCTCTTAATAAATTACTTCCCTACATCTTCATTTGTGAAGTGTTCTGGATGGAATATCATCTTCACAGTGCTTCTTTGTTTTCTTGCTCGTAGCTCCATATTGTTCACTGGAATGTAAAATATGGTAAATTTGCTGAAGCTGTGAAGCATCCTGATGGTTTAGCTGTGGTGGGCATCTTCATGAAGGTTTGTTAAAATTTTTCTTTTTTATTTGTCCAACGCATTCATTGTGTTATGGAGGGAACCTAAGATTAGAAAATAGAGAATACAGCAGCATTGTGCTATGCTGCCCAAATCCATAGCAAACTAGGTGGTGCTCCAAATCCTTACCTTCCTTTATCTGTGAAAGCTGTACCCTGGCCATGGAGTATGACTTCCATCCATCACAGTGGCAGCCCTGTAGCAGTAGTCTTGCCTTCATCAAGGCAGTGAAGCTGCCATAACTCTACCAATGAAAGATGATGTGCATAACTGACCAAGTTGTGTGTATGTGTACGAATCTGCAGTGCAACCAGCCTAAATAACACCGATTTTCCTTTTCTTGTCATTGTTAATTGCCAGAGTGTTTTGTGTTAGTTGAATTGTCTTCAACTAGCTATCTAGAGGAGGTGTCTGCTACAGCAGTACATAGTACTCCATCCTGGCCTCACTGAGGGTGATTATTCTATTAGCAGGGTGACTTCCATAAAAGAACAGCTTAGGTCCAAAAATAAATCTACACACTGTAAATGAAAATAGCTTTATTCTGTCCAGTGTCCTTGGCTGACCTGTCTTTGCTCGCTGTCAACTGGCATGATTTTACAGAGACTGTTTTAGTCACTTATGCTGTAATACTCCTATTATGTACTGAAATGTGGTTGGAAAAAAATTTCCTTGAGAACTCTAACAGAAAACTAAAGGTGGCATGAGAATCCATGGTGATTTTTATTTTCATATGGTTTGTTTTGCAGGTGGGAAATGCCAAGCCCGAGATTCAGAAGGTTGTGGATGCTCTGAGCTCCATTCAAACCAAGGTAATACTTGCTGCCTGTGTTGATGGACACCCATCACAATTGTGCTGCATTATCTTCTTTGAAAAGTAGATTTTTTTTTGCTTCTTCCCAGCCTCCTGCATATATGAAAGTAAAACAAACCCACCTGCCATCAGCACAGGTGCTCCTATGCTATAATTCTAAAAACAAAACAGATTGGAATGAAGTTGAGGTAGAGAGCATGGAGTACTAGAAACAGTGATTATTTCTTCTCTTTGTGATTACATTTCTTTCTTTCAACTGTATTTAAACCTATAGGGTAGGATTCATATTCCTAATCCAAACTACACTTCTAGGTGCCCTTTCTAGTCATTGGTAACAGATGGAAAAGACACTTCCCCTCATCTGTGGACTAAATTTCCTTTTTCCAAGAGGGCATGCTTCTCTTGGCTATTTCTAGACAGAACTCAGATAAACAGATTGATCAGGATATATAACTTAGGGGAAAAGAGTCTTTCTGTATTTTAAATATTGTGTGCAGTGTTTGTGTGATTTTAGTGTGCTGTGTAATGAGAAACTAAAAGTACTTAGTGAGTAATTAGGTACCTTCATAGTGGGTAAAGGCCTGTACCAATGAGAAATGTGGACAGAAAAGATCAAAAATGAGATTAGGTTTCTCATCAGGCTCCCTTTGAGGTAAATGGATATTGCTGCTTACTTCAATGAACTCTCCAACAGGTCTCACAGGTTCTGTGTTTCCAGTGCAGTCAGTGTATGTGGCATCTGAAACCTCATTGTTTTTTAGGCGAGGTCAACTCTTATCTCTAAGACCAAGGAACATAAATGCAGCATTTGATATGAAAAGCAGTATCTTGAAAATCTTGTAAGAAATATATTGCTGAGAGTATTTAAACCTGAATGTACTGTAGTTGGCATGCAACACTTGATGCCACGTTCCATATCTGCCTTCCTAGAAACATGGAGCTTTCCTAGGAGACTTCAGTGCTGCAATCCCTGTGTGTGTATGTGGTGTCTCTCTGACATCAGACCATCTGCTTACTTTATTGTAGGGAAAGCAAGCTTCCTTTACAAATTTTGACCCCACTGGACTCCTTCCTGCATGCAGAGACTACTGGACATACCCTGGCTCACTGACCACTCCACCCCTGCTTGAATGTGTGATCTGGCACGTTCTGAAGGAGCCCATCACTGTGAGCCCTGAGCAGGTAGGTTTCCAATGGATGGTGCCTGTAGATGTTTACTGGAGCTACACTGATGGCTTCAGTTCAGCCCACCAGGTGATCTGTGTAAGTGGCAGTGTTAGTGCAGAGCTGTGCAAGGTATTAGCTAGCATCACATGTCAAAAATATCTATCTGAAGTAGTAATCCTCTTCTGACAGGACTCTGCTTCTGCCTGTGGATATAGAGTTTGATGTAGAATGTACGGTTGTTCTCTATTTGCACACTCCAGGGAAAATGGAGGGGAGAAGTTAGAAAAATTATCAGATATTTTCCAGATGCATGGTTAGAGCTGTTATGTGGTAAAAATCTGGAAAATTGAGGCTTGCATGAAAAGACCATTTGCACATGCAGAGTTAGTCTAGCATGTATTGTGAGCATCAGCAGGTTTGCTGTACATGCAATTACCTGTCTGGGTGTACTTACCCTGAAAAGGCCAGGTTTACAAAGCACCTGGGGAGCATGTGTGCTGCATCCACAGTCTCACACTGTAGAGCTGTAGTTGGTCCATTGATTTTCCAGCATTTCCAGGACACAGAGCTCTTTTTGCAAGTTCTATTTGTCACAGAACAGACTGGGAAATCCTACGCAGATTTGTGATGATTCTAATAAAGCTCCCATTGTTTAGAAGAGGCAAAATTTGCAGATTCCAGAAGTCTGCTGCCTAAGAAAATCTCTGACCAGCCTGAGAAGGATAGTCTTCCTAGGAGGAAGAAGCTTGTGCAGATTAAATCACTCTTGGCCCCAGCTTTTGGCCATCCATTAATGAAATTACGTACAGGCAAGATGCCATTCTTGGGTTCAGATCTGTGTACTTGAGAGATATAAATAGAATCTAGAGCCTATAAATACAAACCGGCCCTGAAGGGCTTTAGTCTAACCTTCAAATTCCTAAGTATCTTTTATAGAATAGCAGATATGCTAACAACCTGCACCTAATTCTAGCGAGTTTGTTCATCTGATGTGAAAGAAAATGCAACTGAGCTGTTGTAGAACTTAACATAATAAAAGACAGAATACGTGATGAGGAAGAACTATTGGAAGTAATAACTATAGCAGTGATTGATAGCCTTTAGTAAACTGCAAAGGAGCATTCAAGTTGACACTATTTACTTGCTCCAAACTGTTCCTATTGCTGTTGATAATTCAAAGTTTGCAAATACGGTTTCATTGTAGGACAGGAAGGCACTCACCAAAATAGTGGGAGTTTTTTTACTATACCTACTCCAACCACATACAAGTGGTAAAAGTTACCACTTATTACTCCACCACATGTCCCTTCATA